GTCATCAGAATTGTACGTGCATGTGATAGGAATGAGAGGTGAATCCTGCTTCTATTGGCTCAGCTCTCCTTGGAATGGGAATCAGTATGAATCTCCGAGTTGGTTGCCACGTAGCTATATTCCAGGTTTCTTGACACAGATGAGTGAGTTCACATCCGGCGCTGGCATCCGTGTGTTGGACCATCTCAGTTGGCGTTCAGTCAGTGATCATTCCTGCCTCCGGAAGCGGCTGAACAGCAGGTTCAGTATTTTGCCCAGAGGAGCTTTAATATTGTAACTCAGGGCCTGACTCTTCTCTTCAGTTCTTTTCAGCTTTTGAGAAATGGTTTTCTCACTCCAGGTCTTTGCACCTTTCATGGTAATAGTTTTGTGTTCTCCAGCTATTTGAAATGTTCAGTTCAGCTCTTTTACTTGATCATTTCTCTCAGCTTCTCTGCACTCGAGAGCAAGTTTCAGAGTCTGTTCTGACATCCACTGTGGTATGTTCTTGTTGAGTGTCATTGACTCGGTTCCCTACCCGTAGTAACCCTTTATAGGTTTTCCCAGAGCTCCTGGTGGGTTTCAACTGCCAGCCTTGAGGCTACCAACTCAGTGCTTTTTCCCTCCAGTGCCATACCAGTATGTGGATGGGTACATGGTGGTGGTGTTTGCTGCTGTCAAGTCTGTTCAGACTCATAATGACTCTGTGTAGGGTTTCCAAGAGCATCTGGTGGATTAGAACCACTGACGTTTTGGTTCACAGTCCAGTGCTTATTATGCTATGTATATATGGCATATGTATGTATGTGTTGTTGTTAGGTGCCGTCAGGTCACTTCCGACTCAGAGCGATCCTGTGCACAACAGAACCACATCCAAACAGTTCCAGTTGCTGTAGAGTCAGCTTGGACTCTTGGTGAGCCTGTGTGTGGCAAGGATAGATGTTTTTGGAAGTAGATCTCCAGACGTCACCCGAGAATCCTCTGGGTGGGCTCAAACTGCCAGCATTCCGGTTAGCAGAGAGCACCCGGTCCACAGCACCAGGAACGCTGTGTGAGTGGGTCGTACCCCTCCCCCTGTTGTGGTGGTTGAGTGCCACTGGATCCATTCCAACCCACAGGGACCCTGGAGAGGGTTTCCCAGCAGAGCTGGGCGGGTTTGAGCTGGTGACCTTGTGGTTAGTAGTCCAGTGCTTATTCTACAGCAGCCCCCAGACTCCTCCTGGGTATCCTGAGTACCGCTCTCACAGAGGGCCGAGCGGGCCGCTTTGACTTAGACCTGGCGATCCTGTTCCTCTGCCGTCACGCCGGTTCCAACTCCGTGACTCTGCTGAACAGAGTACATGTAAAGAGCAGACCGCTTCGTCTTTCTCCCAAAGCAGCTGATGGGCTCAAACTGTCAGTCTTTCACTAAACAGCCCAACACTTAACCCACTGCATCACCAGGACTCCTTTCTCACAATTTAAAAGGTGAAAAGTGTGAGTTCAGAGCTCCAACTCTAAGGGAATATTTACTCTAAAGGTGCTCCTGGTTCCCTGAAAGACCCCCATGTGGCGTAGCTTCTCTCTCCACCCCTCTCACCTCTGCTTTCTGGGTTAATCTGATTTCTCCAGAAACGCTGACTCAGAATACTCCCTATGCTAATCCTGCCTCATGAACTTAACACCCCCATTTGGGGCTCTAACCACAGGCATTAGGGGTAAAATGGACAGCACATACCTCTGGGGAACGTAAGTCAGTCCATAACGGTGTGCGTGTGTGTAAGAAAGCCAACACAACTTATGTATGTGCGCATATGTGAAATGTGTGTTTTCTCTTTTTTCTTTCTCTTACCAAATTCCAATCATCTTCCAGCCTTTACAGAAACTTCCATGTCTGGCCCATTAGTAGCTCATACTGCACCCTCTAAGTAAGCATTGTTTTCCCCCATGCGGGACCTGAAACCTCAAAGGCCAAGGATGGCCCTCCCATTTGGACGCGGGCATCCTCTGGATTTAGGTTTCATGTTTTACACTACAAGTTTCTAGCTCTGTGTGAGCACCGTGAGTGTAGGACTGGGGCTCAGGGGCAGGGGGTAGGGGGGCGCAGACTTCTTGCTCTTCCTCCCCACTGAGCTGTGGCCTTGCCTCAGCTACCCCGCTGACTCTCAGGGTCTCTTCCTCCACCTGCACAGTCAGACCCCGGAGCTCTAAGGGAATCCAGGACCCAGCAGGTGCCCCAAGCCCCCCCCCCCCCCAGATGCACCCACATCCCATGTAGCATGGGGGCCCTGACCGGAACTAAGAAAAAGGCCTCCTGTGTACAGACTCGTCAGGGCCCCCACATTCTGGGGACAACACTGGCTGTAGACGAGACATCCCACCCATGGCTGGGTGTCAGTACGGAGAGTACACATAAATCCGGCCCTGCCTCCTCCCCAAAGGAGCCACCATCTTGGCCCCTGTCTGGGGCGCAGCCTGGCGCAGGGGAGAAGGCCGGTCCTGGAGTCGTGCGTCTGCTCGTTGCAGTGATGCGGACCCAGGGGAGCCTTCGGCTGATCCTCAACACCAAGCTGTGGGCACAGATGCAGATTGACAAGGCCAGTGAGAAGAGCGTGCGTGTCACGGCCACAGACACTGAGGACCAGGGCGTCAAGGTCTTCCTCATCTCGGTGAGCAACTCCTCCCGGGGATACTCTGCCTCCCTCCCTAACCCCTGGAGACCTCCTGAGAGCTGGGTGCATTCGGGGGCCTGTGTTCATATTACATGTGGAGAAGGGATGGTTCCCGCGGCAGTCTTTCCGACCACAGAAGGAGGTGGGACCCGTGGTCCCCAGAACCCAGCATTAACTATCCCCAGGTCCTTAGCCTCAGACGAGAGCCTCAGAGTACCCCCTCCCCCCCCCAACCCTAGGCCAGCTCCAAGGACACGGGCCAGCTGTACGCAGCCCTGCACCACCGCATCCTGGCCCTACGCAGCCGGGTGGAGCAGGAGCAGGAGGCCAAGGCCCCCGTCCCTGAGCCAGGGGTGGCCCCCTCCAATGAGGAGGACGACAGTGACGACGACGATGTGCTGGCCCCATCGGGGGCCGCAGGAGGCGGTGAGTCGGGTGTGCTGGGGTGGTGACCTGGGCCAGGGTGGCCTGGGCATACCCTCAGGAGTCTTGTCCTGACCATGTGACCTATGGTTTGTAGTAGGTGCCCTCGTCCAGGGCCCTGAGCCGTCCTGGGTGGGAGCAGAACTGAGGGCCACTCTCCCCGTCCTCCAGGTGCTGGTGACGAAGGTGATGGGCCCACGGCCGGGAGCACATAGCGGGCCGGCCACCACGCAGGCTGCTGCTTTGTCCGTCTGTCTGCCCGCCCCCGCCCCTCCCTGCAGCAGCGTTGTCGCAGCAGCGTCGGGGCGCGGACTCGGAACCACACCCCTGCTGGGTCGCCACAGTCGGGATCCGCACGTCTTGTCCCAAAGCAGACTCGGAACTGCCTGGGGCGGCCTGGGCGCCAGACCTCATCATATTGATGAGCAGACACAGGACATGCCTCCTCCCCCTCTGAATTGAAATGGCACATCAAGACTTGTCACGCTTTTCACTGGACCAGCCCGGCGTCCTGCCCCCACTCCCACTGGGGCTCATACTTTGCAGATCTTTTTTATTTTCAAAGGGCGGGTTTTGGTTTCTGAGCTAAAGGAAGATGCTCCATCGTCGGCACCATTCTCCATGCCTCGGGTTCCTGGGCCTGCAGGGCAGCAGGCCGCCGTGGGGAGCCCGCCCCCACCTGTACTTTATGTTGCTCAGCCACCCGCTGAGCGCAGGACCACCCTCACCCAGCCCTGGGTGTTGTGGGGCTGGGGACCTCCCTGGCATGGCCTCCTGGATGGGAAGAGGACTGACCAGTCCCAGATAGCAGGTGGTGCCCACCTCATGGCCATCCGCCCACAAGGCCCAGAATGTCTGCCGTGAGCAGGCAACATCACCCAGCCCCTCCTAAGGGGAGCTGCTGCTTCAGCGGAGCCCCTCACTGTGGTGGGCTCAGAAGCGGCCCACACACAGCCCAGCCCGGCCGAGCCCCGGGAAGACTCCACAGGCCATCCAGAGATCTGGTCACGTCTCTGCTTTAAGCCTTAGCCAACTAGTGACAGTAAAACCAGACCACGCCCACGTGTTTGGAACATTTATGTAAGATTGTCCTATGAAATGTAATGGGAACGACATTAAAACTTTTAACTAAAACCCTAACCTCCTGCATGCCCCAGGGCCTCGGGACACCACTGTGGGGACAGAGGACGTGGCGGCCCCTCAAGGGAGCCCCGTCTCAGCTCCAGTGCTGTGCAGACACCCTGAGGCCCTGGGGAGAGCAGGCTGCTCCACTGGGTGGGTATGGGAAGGCACTGTGAAAGGGTATCTACAGTGGGGGTCCAACAGGGGGAGGGCTCGCCACAGAACCTCCGTCCAGCCGGTTCTGGGCTTTTCATTCAGGCCTCCAGGGACCCTCCCCTTCCTGGGTATCACTGGGGCCTCACAGCCGCCAGGCACTGGTCACCATGGCCACAAACTCCTCATCCGTGTCCACCGAGGCGCTCAGGCCGCTGTAGTAGTCCTGGAACTCTGCCAGCGTGACCTGGGGACAGGTAGGCTGTGAGGAGGAGAGGTGGGGGACCAGGATGGGGAGGGATGGAGAGGCACCCACCTGGCCGTCCTTGTTGTCGGGGGAGTCGAAGACATCCAGGAAACTGCGGAGCGCCTCCTCCTCCGTCCACTGACCACTCCGGACCTTGGGGTGGCTGCGGCCACTGTATACCCCTCGGAGGTCCTCCACGGTCACCATGCCGTCACCGCTGCGGTCCAGCTTGGCAAAAGCGGCTGCAATGACTGCCTCCCGGGCCTGGGACATGGGGGGCTGGGGGGCCAGGAGGATGGTGACGGAGGGCTTGGAGAACACTGGAAGGTCACCCCTAGCAGGCATTCCCCCATCTGCCTCTGCGCTCACCAGTGGCATGTGTCCCTGCCCCACACTCAGCCCCTCACCCGCAGAGCCCGCAAGAACTCCTCCAGGTCCAGGGTCCCGCTGCCATCGCGGTCCCAGCGGCGGCACACCGCCTGCGCCTCCACCTCGCTTAGCGGCATCCCCAGCTCAACCAGGCCCCGCCTGAGCTCCGCTGCATCCAGTGTGCGGCTCCGGTCCTGGTCCAAGCGGCGGAAGAACCTGGGGCAGGGGCACAGTAAGGGGTAGCCTTGGCTAGGTGAAACAGAAAGGGTGGAGGAGACAGGACGCTCACCTGGCCAGGCCCTGGATACCCGAGGCCCCTCGGGCCAGGCATTGTGCCCGGAGCGTCTCCAGAGTGGCATCGGCTGTGTCCATGCTAGAAGGGAGAGAGGCAAGGTGGGCTTCCAGTGGAGGCCCGGCGGGGGTTGGGGAAGACTCCCTGCTGGCCCACGATGGCTCACCTGGCCTGCGTCTGTCCTGTGCGATAACAGCAGATGCGTCCTGCCTGGCTAGCCTGTTGCTAAGAGATGGTGACTCTAGAGAGTGGGAGGGGCCCAGCTGTAACCCTCATTGTGCCAGGGCTGTCCTGCCTTTGCCACTCTCACTCCATCCAAACTATCTCAAACCCAGTCCAACCAGGTCACCAAGAATTCCCTGGGCAGCCACGACCCCACAGGTAAGCACAATGCCCTGTCCAATGGTCCTGTGTGGCCCTTCCTTTCACCGTGCTTCCCTTTAGCCCCATCCCCTCCCTGTTCAGGGCACAGCTCAGCCAGAGCCAGGCTTGACAGTCTTCTGAAAGAGCCAAGACCTACCCAGGCCCAATCCAGTGGAATGTTCCAGAACCTGTGAGAACAGCATCAAGACAGTCAACGTTATCTTCCACCAGGAGCGTTTCTCTTTTGGTTGGTGGTTTTCTGGTTATCACACATTCTCTGCAGTCTTACTGGTAACAAGCTGATATGGCAGAGACCCTGGGGTACATGTCAGAGGCAGCCCAACACCAACCTGAGAAACTGAGGTCACCATCACCGCAGGCCGATGGAGGTGGCTACACAGACAGGCAGGACTGATGACATGTTTACCAGAACAGGGAGTGTGGCTCTGAGGGGGACCCACCACTGGCACAGATCCAGGAGGCGCTGTAGACCTTTTGAAGCTGGTGCTTAGCTCACACACAGGACAACTCTATTGTTGGAAGGTGTCATCTCAGTCAGAAATGACTCATCCACAATGACAAGCCACCCAGCACTACGCTCTGTTCCACGGTCCTTGTACCCTTGGGTTTTCAGGAAACTGTGTTTTGCTGCAAAAATGCAGATAACTTGCTATAGTGCAAAATTTCCTTAGATCAGCAGAGAAAGACTTGGTTATATGTTCTCAGGAACATTTTGAGCATTTAGTGTGTGTGTGTAAAACATTACAATTATTGGCGCTCTGTTCTGGCATTTTAAGGAAGATTTCAACAATAACCACAAAACACTGACTAGGCCTGCCTGACCTGAAAGCCGTTTTTCAACTTTCTCTGAGCCTCAGTTTCCATAGCTATAAAATGGGAAAATAGCCCTAGCTGGCTTCTGAGATGGAACAGTATCTGTAGAAGGTCTAGCACAAGCTCCGGTGACTATTCCCCATGGCTCCTGGCCCAGCAGGGGACCAATGATGACACAAATGACTCCCCTCAACCCCCACACCAGGGAGAAAGGATGAAGGAGTCTGGTCTTAAAAGCATGTGGTTTATTCTTGAACATGACGGGCGCTGGCCAGTTCTTCCCCCTTGGAAAAACAGCCTCCCTCAGTTCATCCAGAGCAGAAAACGGGGCTGTTGTTAACTGCACTGAGGGGCCATTGTTAAATAACCAGACTGCAGTTCCTGTCCTGCGGGCTGAGGACAGCTTGCCAGGCGGACATGAGCCCTGTGTGACAATTCCTGAGCGAGGCACCCTCGAAGGGGTTGCTGACCAGGCTAGGCACTTGGGTGGGGCTGAAGAGGACATAGTCACTCTTCTCCCTGGTTTGATAAAACTGTAGAGTGCTGGATGTCACGGTCCAAAAAGGACCGTGAGAAACAGGAGTATTAAAAATACATTCTCTCTAGGGGATACAAAAGCTGAATCAGAATTTGTTAGGTATACTGGGGCCCTGGTTCCCTTTAAGACCCACACAGCCATCCTGTCTGTCCATACCAGGCACCCAATGTGAGCCAGGCCCTGGTAACAGCAGAGATGGCAACAGACCAAATCCCCTGCCCTCATAGTGAACAATGATGGGTTAAATAAACAATGGGAGGGAAAATGGTTGTAAGTTTCATAAAGAACAAGTCTTGGGGGTGTGAATAATTTCAGATAAGGTGGTCAGAAAGGCCTTTCTGAGAAGGTGACATCTGAACAAAGACCTAGTGACAACCATCCATGAGGACGTGGGGGAAGAGTGTTCCAGGCACAGGGAACAGCCAGTGCAAAGGCCCTGAGGCACAACACCATCCAGAAAAGTCTGGGCACAACAGCCTGGCGACCTGCATCTCAGAACCAAGCCTTGCCTGTCCCACTCTTCCTAATGAGCCAAGGGCTGAGAGGAGGGCAGCAAAGCAAACTCAGGATTTAAAAACATGCCTTCATATAACCAATACAAAAGCATGAGGCTAGAAGTTCCCATTGTGGTCTGGATATAAAGTAAGAGAAAGCATTAGCTCTCAGATTGGGGATTGGTGTTGTGCTCAGCAGGAACAAGAATCAGAAAAAAGGTCAGAAAAACTCTTGTGGAATTTGAAAACTTGTTGCCTTCAAGTTGGTTCTGTCTCATGGTAACCGTGTTAAGACAGAGTAGAACTGCCCTGTAGCCATTTCCAAGGCTGTAGATCTTTCTGGAAGCAGAATGCCACATCTTTCTCCTTCAGAGCAACTAGTGTGAGTAACTAATTTCAAGACTGACAACAGCATCAGCTTTTTGGTTAGCAGCTGAATGCTTAACCACTGTATCCTCAGAAGGGTGTCCTAAACTCAAGGTGCTTCAGGGACAAGACAGAGGCAAGGGGCCCAGCTAAAACTCACACCCTGCTGAAGAAGACAGCCTCAACTCAGATCCAGGCAGCTGTGGTAAAGTCTGAAGCTAAAATCGGGATTTCTGTGTTAACCTTGCCAATTTTTCAATGAAGGTGATTAATAATCAGAGTTCTTAAGAATTTCAAGGCTAACCATCTGCATCTGGCCCACGAGCTGGCAGTTTGAGACTATGGCTTTCTAGTTGGCTCTGATGCGTAGACAGAATTAAGGCTCAGCATGGGAACTTCTCTCTAGGATACTGGTGACTCCCAAGGACACCCACGGCAGCAGAAGTCCCTGTAGGGGCCCCATATGTCCATTCTGGAATCTGCGATCTGGGGCTCACACCGTGGTCCCAAATACCGCTGGCAGCAGGTGGTCCTCGCCACCTTCTTCCCCAGTGCTGTTAACAAGCGGGGGACTCGACCCTCCAGGGTCGCTGGTTGGCAGGGGTCCCAGGCGCTCAGCCTCAGCCAGCGTAGCCAGCAGCCGGACCAGGGGTGGCCGGTGGTAGCAGATGTCCTGTAGCAGTTTGGCCCGGGTCTGCAGCTGCCCAATGAGGTCATCCCTCTGGCAAAGGGCAGCCTGCAGGCTGTGGACAGCAGCTTCAGAGGTCAGCAATTGCTCCCGCAGAGTGGTGATCTCACTGTGGGGCAGAGAGACAGAGTTGGTGATGGCACCGAGGGACCCACCCCTGCTTCTGCCCCATCACTGTGGGGATCACGTCCCTACTCCTCAGCACTGCCTCTGCTGGTCCTGTAGTTAGACACCTGCGAGTCCATTCTCGATTCATGTGACAATTGTTGTTATTGTTATGTGCCGTGGAGTCGGTTCCAACTCATAAGCGACCCTGCATACGGTTTCCGAGGCTGTAAATCTTTACAGGAGCAGAAAGCTTCATCTTTCTCCCACGGAACAGCTGGTAGTTTCAAACTGCTGACCTTGCGGCTCGCAGCCCGATTCATAACCACTACGCTACCAGAGCTCTTTCCATGTGACAATACCACTGCATAATTTCTTGACTGATCATTACAGAAGCAGATTCCCAGGTCTTTCTCCTGAGGAGCAGCTTGGGGAAATGAGGGTGTGAACCGCCAAATTTTCAGCCCCATGTGCCCCCACAATCACAACCATGGCTGCCCCACACGGTAGCTGCCTAGGCGGGGTTGTCTGGTTCTGAATTCATCTTTTCTCATCTAACCCTCAGCACCTCCCACTGTCTAGGCACAGACGGGCCCCTTCCCCTTCCATCCCCAGCTGCAGGCTGTTGTTGCTTATTGTCAAAAGCCATTGAGTCGATTCCCACCCATGGTCATGCCATGTGATAAAGTACAACTGCCCTATAGGATTTTCCAGCTGAATGCTTAACCGGTGTGCCTCAGAGTTTCCTCCCCTGCTCAAAAACCTGCCTGGCTCCCACCGCCTACACTCGGAAGAAGGCCCCAACCACTGACCACAGTCGATTTGCTTTATGAGGAAATGGACTGTTTTATGCTAAGTCCGAAACCCATACTAAAATCTCTGAACTTAATCATATAAAACCACAGCCATCCAATTGATTCAAACCCCTGGTGTCCTTGATTCAGACTCCTGGTGTCCCCCACAAGGTTTCTGAGGCTGTAAATCTTTATAAAAATAGACAGTCCCATCTTTCTACCTTGCGGAGCAGCTGATGGGGTCGGAAGGCCAACTTTTGGTGAACAGCCAGGCCCCTTAGCCACTGCGCCCGCAGGGCTCCTTGAACTTTACACACTGATGACTAAGCCAAGATTTGGGGGGCTTTGGGGGAAATGAAACATGAATGCACGCGGTTCCTCCTGCCGTTCTTGTTTCTCCATGGCCAGCTCGACCACCCTTTCCCCTCCTCCAGGTCTCACCGGTCCTTGGCGCGGCCGAGCTCGTCCAGGGCGGCGCGCAGCTGCTGATCCTGGCGGGCCAGGCGTTCAGCCTGGGCGCGTACCGTGCGCTCAGCCGCCTCCAGCCGCGCCTCCAGTTCCGCCGCGCGCCGGTGCACGGCCGCCAAATGTGCGTTCGCTTCCCGGATCTGCAGGGCGGGCGGCGCGGACATGGCCCCGGCTGCTGTCCAGGCCCGGCCACGCCCCCGGGCGGCCCGGAACCGGTCCGGGACCGCCTCCAGGAGGGTCACGCCCCCCACACGGTCTTTTTCCGGACCTCGGCGCGATTGGCTGCCGTCCCGTTAGGCCCCGCCCCCATTGCTGCCTCCTTAAACCCGAATTGTTGTTGTTGTTGTTCTTGTTAGGTGCCATCGAGTAGGTACCGACTCATAGCAACCTTACGCACAGCAGAAACACAGCCCGATTATGGGCCAACCTCACTACTGGTGCCACGCTTGGGTCCATCGATGCTGCCACTTGGCCAATCCCGAATGGACATACTGATTCAGGCATTTAAAACTCCGCCCTTGAGCCCAGCCTAACTCCAGGATTGGCCAAAGTCTTGATAGACCACGCCCACAGTCAGGGCGCTTTCTTCCGACTTTCCCCGGACTCAGGCACAACGATTGGCCACGCCTTCGATACGGGTACCGCCTTACTCAAAAGCGCACAGCAGAATTAGCTCCGAACCCGTAGAATAAACTATTTGACCACGCCCCCGGCGGGATCTCGGCTCCAATCTAGGTATAGTGATTGGTCATGTCTGTCAGACCGCGCCCCTTAGGCAATCGTATAGCCGCGGATTGGGCAAATCACTCCTCTTCTCTAGTGTGGCCACGCCCCCAATCGAAAGCAAATGTCTTCAGGGTTTAGCCTAATTAAGTGGGACTGAGGGCACGTCCTGCTAAGATCCTAGCACCAGGATTGGTCACTTTTCCGTTAGACCCCGCCCACTGATCCTGGCCCCGCCCAAAAATAGGCGCTCGAGACTCAGACTGGCCACTGGCAGGGACTGTGCCCACACAGGAATGGCCCCATCCCTGCTATGCATCTTCTTAATTACAGGCTTCCCCCCCCCCCATCAATGGTGGTGGTTCTGTGCCGTGGAGTCGGTTCCGACTCATAGCGACCCTGTACAGGGTTTCCGAGGCTGTACATTTTTACGGGAGCAGAAAGCCTCATCTTTCTCCCGCGGAACAACTGGTAGTTTCGAACTGCTGACCTTGAGGTTCGCAGCCCGATTCGTAACCACATCATTGAGGGGTGTCAGATGGATTTTGGCCCAAAGCAGAGACTAGCAGAAAGATGTTTAAATATTTTTTATTTACTATGCACAAGTATGAGATTGTGTGGATGATAACAAATTAGGATTACATTGCAAGGAGTTGCAGAAAACTTAATTGTGCTCATGTGGAACCTGTACACAGACCAAGAGGCAGTTGTTCCGACAGAACTAGTGGATAGTGGTGGTGGTGGTTATGTGCCGAGGAGTCGGTTCCGACCCATAGCGACCCTATACAGGGTTTCCGAGGCTGTAAATCTTTACAGGAGCAGAAAGCCTCATCTTTCTCCCACGGAACAACTGGTAGTTTCGAACTGCTGACCTTGCGGTTCGCAGAGCGGGTAGTACGTGGTTTAAAATTAGGAAAGGTGTGTATCAGAACTGCATCCTTTCACCATACTTATTCAATTTGTATGCTGAGCAAATAATCCGAGGAGTGGGACTGTGTGAAAAAGAACACAGCATCGGGATTGGAAAAAAAGCTTATTAACAATCTTATGTAGGTGTCACAACCTTGCTTGCTAAAAGTTTAGAGGATTTGAAGAATTTACTGATGAAAATCAAAGAATATAGCCTTCAGTATGGATGTAAATAAAACAAAAATCCTTACAACTGGACCAATAGACATCATGATAAACGAAGAAAATAATAAAGTTGTCAAGGATTTAATTTTATTTGGATTCACAATCAATGTCCAAGGAAGCACCTTTCAGGAAATCAGACAACAAAAAAAATGATGCTTTAGAATTATGGTGTTGGCAAAGAATATTGAAAGTATCCTGGACTGCCAAAAGAATGAAGAAATCTGTCTTGGGAGAAATACAACGACAATGGCTCCTTGGAAGCTAGGATGGCGTGATTTGTCTTTCATACTTAGTTTTTGTTTTGTTTTTTTGTCTTTCATACTTTGTACGTGTTATAAGGAGAGACCAGCCCGTGGGAAAAGTGGGTAAAGTGAAAGATCAGCGAAAAAGAGGAAGACCCTCCCCACAACAAGATAATATACACACAGGCAGCAGCAATGTCCTCAAACGATTGTGAGGACTGGGCAATGTTTCCGTTCTGGTGTATGTAAATCAGAACAGACAGAAGGCCTTTAACTACAAGAAACCTATCACATGAAGACCCGCCTCTTCCCTGGATTGTGCCTGCGGATAGGTCTAGCTCCTACATACAGTCCCGCCTCTATATTAGACCACGCCTCTATATTAGGCCCCACAGCCAACAGTCAACCCTTCCCTAACCTAGGGCTCCCCACTCCAACAGACCTTGGTGAGCCTCAGCTTTCCCCTCGGGAAACCTTCTCTAGGTGCACTCGCTCGCCCTTCCGCCAGCCTCGCCCCCGATGCATGCGAGCGCTCTTGTTCGTGTTGGCGGCGATCAATAAAGTTGCGTGCTTGTTGCTGGCACGCCGTCCCGGAAGTCTCGCGATAGTCAGCAGAAGCTGCCCTTGGGTGCGCGGATCCCGTTTGGCTGCTGTGCGGGTCCCGTGGTGCGCGGCCATGGCGCGGTTGCTGCTCCAGCAGTACCAGGACATCCCTGATGGTACCGAGTGCCACCGCAAAGCCTATGCCAGCACCAGTATCGGCGGCGCCACCGGTGAGCGCCCGCCGGGCCCAGAGCACTGAGGGCAAGGCGAGGTCATTGGGTCACTCCGGGACAACCCCAGAGGGCTACGGTGGTGCGGGAAGGGGTTGGAGGGCCTCGCGGTCACACCTGGTCGTCATCGAGGTGTCTGCGACGCCCGTGGGACGCTCAGGAGGTCTTGTGGGAGGTGCACGTTGTGGGGGTGAGTCTGGCGGAGTCGGAGTGCGGGGAGAGGTGGTCTTGCCTGTGACAAGCTGTTGTCGGGGGTCGTCGAAGGTTGGGTGGTCCCTGGTTGCTGAGACTTTGGGGAGGTGCAAAGAGGTTAGTGGTGAGGCGATCACTAGAGCGCTGTTAGCGTAGTGGTTACGAGTTGGGCTGCTGATCTCACGGTCAGCAGTTCGAAACTACCAGCGGTTCTGCGGGAGAAAGATGAGGTTTTCTGCTGCGGTAAAAAGTTGTTGTTATGTGCCGTGGAGTCTGTTCCGACTCATAACGACCCTGTACAGGGTTTCCGAGGCTGTAAATCTTTACTGGAGCAGAAAGCCTCATCGTTCTCCCAGGGAACAGCTGGTAGTTTCGAACTGCTGACCTTGCGGTTTGCAGCCCGATTCGTCCACTACGCTACCAGAGCTCCTTGGTAAAAAGTTACAGCCTCAGAAACCCTACACAGGGTCGCTATGAGTCAGAACCGACTCCACAGCACACAACCACTAACCAACCAGAGGATTTACTGAGTCATGAGGTTTTGCAAGGAGATGTCTGAGATTTTAGTGGGTCGTTATTGAAGTGTCTGCCAGGGGTACAGCAATGAGGGGAACTTTGGATGTGGGACGAGTTCATTTCAGGATCATGGGGTCTGAGTTGATGAGATCCATTAGGGAGTGGGTCAAAAGCTACTTCAGAGACATCCTGGGAGGGGGCATGAAAGGACACAGCAATCTAGCCCATTGCTACTTATAGTGACGTCACATGTGCAGAGTTGTTCTTGTTAAGTGCCATCTAGTTGGTTCTGACCCATAGCAACCCTGTACAGGGTTTCCAAGGCTGTAAATCTTAACGGGAGCAGAAAGCCTCATCTTTCTCCCACAGAGTGGTTGGTAGTTTCGAACTGCTGACCTTAAGGTTCACAGCCCTTAGGTAGAGTAGAGCTGCTCTATTGGGGTTTCAAGCTTGTAAGCTTTGTGGAAGTGGATTGCCAGGCCTTTCTTCCGTGGTGCTGTGGGGTGGGTTGGACCCTCAACCCCTCTGTTAGTAATGGAGCACAAACCATTTAGACCACCCAAGGACCATGTGAAGGGGCCCATAACCCTAGAATAGCAGCCCCAAGTGTCTCACCGACTTGCTGTTAGGTTCCTTTGACTTGGTTCTGATTCATAGGCACCCTAGGCACAACAGAACGAAACACTGCCTGGTCTGGCACCATCCTCACACCATTCTTATATTTGAACCTACTGCAGCTGCTGCCACTGGCCAATCCATCTTGTTGAAGGCCTTCCTCTTTTTCACTGACCTTCTACTTTGCCTAGCATGATGTCCTTCTCCAGGAACTGGTCTCTCCTGATAACGTGTCCGAAATACATGAAATGAAGGCTCGTCATCCTCACTCCTGAGGAGCATTCTGGCTGTACTTCTTTCAAGACAGGTTTGTTTGTTCTTCTGGCAGTCTGTGATATAGTTAACATTCTTTGCCAACACTATCATTCAAAGGCATCAATTCTTTATTCATTGCCTAGCTTTCCCATGCATATGATGATGCTAAAAAGGCCAAGGCTTGGGTCAGGTGCATCTTAGTTCTCAAAGTAACACCTCGGTTCTTGACCACTTTAAAGAGGTCTTTTGCAAGATTTGTCCAATGCAATATGTGATTTAATTGGTTAACTGCTGCTTCCATGGGCAAGTGGATCTAAATAAAATGGAATTGTTGGCCACGTCAATCTTATTGGTCCAGTTGTGAGGAGACTAGCACGGTCTCCTTTAATTTAATTCTTAGTTTTTTCTGAGAAAAAGATGTGATGGTATGAGCCATCTCTGCATTTCCAGCTCCTGGAGGAGGTTCAGTCTTCACTGGGAGGCATTTGGCGTAGGTAGACCTAATGATCACTGAAAAGAAAGAAAAGACAAGGATGGATATCAGAAAAGACTCTGAAACTTGCTTTTGAGCGTAAAGAATCTAAAATGAATGGAAGAAATGAGTAAGTAAAAGAGCTGAACAGAAAATTTCAAAGGTCAGCTCAAGAAGACAAAGTCAAGTATTAGAATGAAATGTGCAATGACTTGGGATTAGAAAACCAAAAGGGAAGAACACACTCAGCATTTCTCAAGCTGAAAGAACAGAAGAAAAAATTCAAGCATCAAATTGCAATATTGAAGGATTCTGTAGGCGAAATCTGTACTGCCAACCACAAGGTCAGCAGTTCAAATCCACCAGCTGCCTCTCAGAATCCCTATACAGGGTCACTATGAATCAGTACCGACTCGATGGCACAGAACAACAACGTGGGCAAAATACTGAATGATGCAGAAAGCATCAAAAGAAGATAGAAAGAATACACAGAGGCACGGAACCAAAATGGAATGGTTGGTGTTCAACCATTTCAATTTCAATTCACTGAATTTCACTGAAGAAAGAAATCCAAGCTGCACTGTAGGCATTGGCGTAAAACAAGGCTCCGAGAACTGATGGAGAAATCTTTCAACAAACTGACGCAGCCCTGGAGGTGCTCACTCAGCTATACCAAGGAATTTGGAAGACAGCTACCTGACCAATTGATTGGAAAAAATCCACATTTGTGCCCATTCCAAAGAGAGGTGACCCAACGGAAGGTGGAAATCCCTGAATAATATTATTCATATCACATGCAAGTAAAAAATTGTGAAGATAATTCAAAAATGATTGCAACAGTACATTAACAGGGAGCTGCCAGAAACTCAAGCCAGGTTCCGAAGTGGATTTTGAATGAGGGATATCATTTGCTGATGTCAGATGGATCTTGACTGAAAGCAAAGAATACCGAAAGATATTAACTTGTGTTTTATTGACTATGTAAAGGCTTTCAACTGTGTAGATCATGACAGTCTATGGATAAGATTGGGAAGAATGCATATTCCAGAATGCTTCACTGTGCTCGTGAAGAACCTATACCTTGACCAAGAGGTGGTCATCCAAACAGAATAAGGGAACACTGAGTGGTTAACATTTAGAAAAGGTTTGTGCCAGGGTTGTATTTTTTCACCATACTTACTCTACCTGAATGCTGAGCAAATAATCTGAGAAGCTGGATTATATGAAGAACTACTTGACATCAGGATTGAAGGAAGACTTATCAACAACTTGCAATATGCAGATAATACAACCTTGCTGCTGGAAGCAAAGAGGACTGAAAATACCTACTGGTGAAGATCAAAGACTACACCTTCAGTCCAGGTTGCACTTCTGTAAAAATCCTCACATCTGGACCAATAAGTAACCATAATAAATGGGGGAAAGATTGAAGTTGTCAGAGACTTCATTTTGCTTGGATGCATAATCAGCACTCATGGAAGCAGCAATCAAGAAACCAAACAAGGTATTGCATTGGAAAATTCTGCAAACGACCTCTTTGAAGTGTTTTAAAAAAAAAAGCAAAATAACAATTTGAGAACTAAGGTTGAGTCCCTGACCCCGGCCATGGTTTTTTCCCATTGCTTCATATGCATGTGAAAGTTGGACAATGAATAAGGAAGACCGTAGAAGATTTGATGCATTTGAATTCTGGTGTTGGGGAATATTGAAAGTACCATGGACTTCTAGAAGAACAAATCTGTGCTGGAGGAAATATAGCCAGAATGTTGCTTAGAAGCCAGGATGGCGGGACTTGGTCTCTCACACTGGGTACATATCTAGAGGGACCAGTCCCTGGAGAAGGACATTATGTTTGATAAAGTGGAGGGTCAGAGAAGGAGAGAAGACCCTCAGTGAGATGAATTAACACAGTGCCAACAACAGTGGTCTCAAGTGTAACAACCGTTAGGAGGCTGGCACAGAACCAGGCAGTGTTTCATTCTGTGCACAGGATCACTGTGAGGCAGAACCACCTTGACGGGCATTTGCCAACAACAGTGATGGCTGGAGTCCCTGCGGGGTGCTCAACAGTCATGTTCAGCTTCTAACTGAAAGATTGAAGGTTCAGGTCCACCCAGAGGTGGGTCTGAAGAAAGGCTTGGTGATCTAATTCCAAAAAAGTCAGCCAGTGACTTTTCTATGGAGCACAGTTCTACTCTGATACAGAATACGTAGGACTCTACCGGATGGCAACATCCTTCCCCCCGCCGCCAATAAACACCACCATTTTCCGTACACGAGGAGGCTTCAAAAAGCTCATGTAAAATTCCATGTATCTTTTGTACCTTTTTTCCGCAAACTTTTTGAAGCCTCCTTGTATTTAGTAAAATTGACCGTTATGATCCCCATTGCCCGGAGTTGGACACTGAGGGTCCAAGAGGTATGTGAATTGCCCCAGGGTTGTTTAGAACTGGGATGTACACCCAGCCAGAAACGTTCCCACAAGGTCCTTACTGGAGGTAGTCGGGAGAGGGGAAGACCCAGGGGATGGAGTATGTGGAGTCTGCCCCAAGGATGGGTTGTTGGGGGGCGGGGGTTCCAGTGTGCATCGCAGTGGGCTGGAAAGTTGGTAGTGTTCAAGTCGGGGGGTCGCTGTTTCAGGGAAGCTGTTCTGCCAGGTTTTGACAAGGAAAAGTGGCGATCATCATTAGAGAACTTTTGTGGGGTCATGGTCATGCCTCTGGTAAATTAAAGCCAGAGGGCTGAGTGAGGCTGTGCTAGACCAGCAGGGAGAGTAATTTGAGAGGCGGATGATTTGGGGGGGTTTTGTAACTGAGAAGGGTAGTACCTTGGACATGTGCCTTTGTGTTCGAGAGACGTGTGCGCCAGCGTGCGTGTGGGTGTGTGAGTATGTGAGAATGCACGCATGTGTTAAGAGGGTGTGCGTGTGCATACTGACGCACCATAATGGAGGCCAGTGGGGAATGAGCTGGTCTTGGGGCTGGGAGGGATGGCTCCCAGTGAGGGGCCTCTGGGGGGTCCGGACCAGGAGTCGCTGAGAGAACCTAGCGGGCTGATGATCATTGTCATCTGCAAGTGCCCCCAGGTGCCCAGGACTCCAAGGGACCCCTGTACATGTGACACTCACCTTGCCCATATTTCCTCACTGCCCCCGCCCCCACCTGAGAGTCAGCCTGCTTTGCGTCTCACTCATGCATCCTGTCTGGAAGGCAAGCAGAGTCCAGCATTTCATGGACCCCTTGAGTGGCTAGGTGGGTGGATGACTGGGTGGACAGTTGGCTGGTGAGTGCAGCTGCCAGTCTGGATGGTGTCTGAGGGAGGGGACAGGAGCCAGCAGGTGGAGAAGGGGCCTATTCACAGACTGGACGGTGGGTGGCTGTTTGGGGTGACCAGGGAGAGTGAGTAGTCAGTCAGGGGTCTCCTGGGCGATCCTTTCCCATTTAGGGACTTCTGGGGGACACCAATGACTATGTTGAGTGTGGTCCCTGAGCTGGGAGTCTGTGGGCTGTTGGGGGAGTATCGAGGTTACCTCCAGAAGTTATTGTATGTCTAGGTGGCAATTGCATTTGTCAGGAACTTTATATGGGGCTCAGCCCCCCCTCCCCCCCCAGTTAGTGCCTCTTCAGATTAAACCTCTCAGGGTAAGAGTCTGTATGTCTGTCTGTGGAGGTTTGATTGAGGATGAGGGGGGAGTTGCTGGCTTCTTCATCTGAGTCACCCTGGCATCCCAGGTGCAGGCCCTACCCAAGTCAGGGCCCGGGGCGGGTCTTGGTACTTCTTTGGGCCGAGCAAGGACACCAAGGTTCCTTGTAGGACTGGGGGACAGAAGAGCCAGTGACCTGCAGACTTTATATGTGTCTGTTTTCCTCGTCTCTCGGCCTCCATTTCCACATCTGTACAGTTGGTGGGGATGGGGGTATCCCAGGCTTCCTCTGAAGGTGAACGGTCTCCCACAGCGGTTCACAAAGACAGAATCTGAGCTCAGGCTGGGTGGGGCGGAATCAGACCCACCTGGTCCAATCCTGCCTTGCTAGGTGACCCTAGAGAAGTCCCTATGGTCCCCTTCCCTCCCCTCCCATGAATGGGTCATTAACGGATTGAGTCCATCAGACTGTTGGAGGTAAGCAGGTGGTACCCTATAGCAAATGGCAGTTCAGGCATTTGTAGGCTGGGCTTACCTAGTGGGCTTTGGGGGGCGATAAGGAGAGGAAAGGGTATTGTTGACTCTGAGCAGGGCCACTTTGTGGGGTGTCTGATGGGCCTGAGCCCATGTCCAGACTGGCCCCAAGGACAGTAGACCGGGAAAGCTGGGTCTGCCAGAGCCTGGGGGTGTGGGGAGCTGCTCCATCCAGGTGTGAGCTGGACACGGGTGTAGGGGACTGGCAGACACAAGCAGAGTCTCTGCCAAGGATAACCTCAGAGCACAATGTGGTGGTACTGGGAGCTGGACTCGGCCACCAGAGCCTGAGGGGGCGCAGCTGCTTTGTTTGTGGGCCCCAGGGCTGTGGGCTCCATGTCCTGCTACTGGCCAGTGAACAAGTGTGGGATACCCACCCTTTTCTTCTCAGTCAGCACTGTGCTGTGGGTCCAGTGGGAGAGGAGGCAGGAAATGAGAGTCAGCCTCTGGTGTTGGCAGACCCGGGTTCAAATCCCAGCCCTGCACTACTACATGTCTGGACGGGGGCTGGTGTTCCAGCTGCTTGGAGGGTCGTGGGGATGATGAGAGAGAGAAAGCCCCTCCCTGGAGCGGAGACCAGGCATGTGAGCAGAGCCTCCCTCCTTTTATAGGTCTTGCTGCCTCTGCTTACAGCCTCTCACTCAATCCCCCGGATTCCTTCTTCCAAGGGCTGGCCAGGGCAGGACGATACACGTTTACCGCAGGTGAGCGCCCCTAGCACTCTGCCTGACCCTCTGTGTCCCTCACTTCTCCTGTCCCACATCCATGGCCACCACTGCTCACCTCGAACTCCCAGCTGGGCTCCACAGTGTGAGCCTCTGGTGGGGGGGCAGGGTCACGTGGGGTCCCAAGAGATCACCTCCAAGCTAGACAGAGTGCATCTGCAAAGGCCAGATCAGAAACTTCTCTCTACGGGCCAATCCCCACGATGACCCCCGCCCTGTGTCCCCACAGCCGCCATCGGCGCCGTGTTTGGCCTTGCCTCCTGCGTCAGCGCCCAGGTCCGGGAGAAGCCTGACGACCCCCTGAACTACTTCATCGGAGGCTGTGCTGGGGGCCTAACCCTGGGGGCGCGCAGTGAGTGGGGCTCCTCCTTTTCACCCAGCACCCAGGGGGGCAAGGGATGGGCAGGGCGGAAGGCACAGAGCACTCCCCAGCACCTTGGCCCCACCCATTAGTAGTGGAACAGCTGCATCTCCTAAGCACCTGCCTCAAGTCACCTCACGCCCACCATGGCCCCCACCACACTCAGCACGGCCCTGGCCTCTCCCATTCCTTCCCTCCTCCCCTCTCCCCCAGCCACCTGGCCTTCCGCCCATTCTTGTCCCAGGGCCTTTACAGGGGCTGTACTCCCTGCTTCGAGGGCCAGCCTCACACCCCATGCCCCCTGCTCTGTCTTCCACACCCTTATCAGAGAATGAGGCCTTTACTACCTGTCCCTAGCCCAAGCCCCAGAACCCACAGGGCCTCCTCCCACTGGACAGGTGCAGGTACTGAGCCCCTGGTCAGCCTGTACCTCTAACCTGCCCAGATTTATGCTGCTGAGCCCTGTCCCCGTTAGAAAAACGGAGCTTGGCAGGCCCAGGTAGTGGGTGAAACACCCTTATTGTGATACCCTCAGAAGGTCCAGCGAGGCAGACGGTGAGCACCTTGGCTGTGACCTGCCATCTACCCATCCCTGACTGGGGTTGGTGGATGGAGAGGTCTCTGCCAGGCTGTGCCTGCCCTGAGCCGCCTCCGCGCTCCTCCAAGTTCACGCTGCGTGGTGTCCTCCTCCAGCCCCTGGGCTCCTCTGTGCTGCGTTTACAGACACCATAGTCGTGCCCTCTGCCTCTGCTGCTCCCTAGCACCAGGCCAGGCTTCAGCCTTTCAAGCCTGTGGGGGGTTGGGCAGCACGGGTGGGAGTACTTGTCAGCGGGGTCTCTGCTCCCTGGGGCCGGCAGCTGAGTCCCTCTGAACCTCAGTTCACCCTCCTTTAGTCTGGTGCCCTCTTGTGGGTTTGCTGGAGAGCCAAGTGACTTCAAACTGCCTCCGTGAGCCTGCCCTGGTCAGAGAAGTGGGGGCAGTGGGGCTAGGTCCCACACCTGACTGCCCTTCCCCCTCCTCTCTGCAGTGCACAGCTATGGTGTCGGCGCCGCATCCTGCGTGTACATGGGCACAGTTGCTGCCCTGGTCAAGATGGGCCAGCTGGAGGGCTGGAAAGTGTTTGTGGAGCCCAAGGTGTGAGGCCACCTGTTCTGGCCAGGAGAAATGTGGCTACAAATAAACCGTGTGTGTGTATTGCTTCAGTTACCCCTGATCCTGGAGGGCTGGGGACTTCCGGCATAGAGGGAAACACAGGGAGATTATGCTGGATTAGGGGCTGCCCCACATAGGAGTTAGGGGCAGAGGAAGCCCCTGTCAGTCCCTTCCTGGGTGTAGGGGGCCCCCAGGGGTGACATGTGCAGGCACCTGGTAGCGGCCACACACACACACAAACACACACGTGTCAGGGACCATCGTTCACCACTCATTCCCTTGCTCCCTCCTCCCCAGTTCCCACAGAGCGAGTGGAAACAGGCCCGGGCCCACCACCCGTTATGTCATGTCACCACATTCCTGGGCGCTGGAGCGCACCGGACCGGGCGGACGGCAGGTGGGTGGCTGGCTGGCCAGCCGGCTATAGAGAGCCCGCCGCCAGCACCGCCGAGCCAATGTCCCAGGCCTGGCCCGCGGCGCCTGTCAGCCAGTGATTTAGGCAGCCCCGGAATGTTCACAGCCGCCCAGATCGGTTTCCAGAACTACGGCGGGACTGCCAGAAAGGAAGGCCCAGCGCGGGGCGCTCCGACACACCGACACGGACGGCCATAAATTAGTGCCGTGGCCCCACGGGTGACCCTGTCATCATCTGAGTCTACCGACCCCTTTCCCTCCCATCTATGAGGTCAACACTTAGTGAAAAGTAGCCCCGAGCCAGCACAGAGGGGCCAGGGGTACCGCCCCCGCCTCCACAACCTCATTTCCAGCGTGTGGACAACGTTCTAGGTCATGTCACACCGAACTGCCTGCCCTCCCAGGCCAGTCTGAACCCTGGGTGCTCCCAACAACAAAGGTACCCCCACCGGGGGTCCCACACCTTCCCTGACTCCTACTGGGGTCTCACAAGGCGAGCTCGGCCTTGTGGGTATTTGTGGGGTTCCTAGGAAATGATGGCGACACACTTCTGTTTTGGGAGGGAGCGGCCCAGAGGCCTCACACCAAGCAAACAAGAAGACTTCCCAATCCTGGGTTCGAATCCCAGTTCTCCCCACTTTTTGGCTCCGTGCCACAACATGAAGTCACGCCAGGCTTCGGCTTTCTCACCTAGCAAGCGGAAATAACGGCTTTGGGGACTTTTCACAAAGGCGCATGAAGCCCAAGTGGAGCCTGTTGCTGCCACCGTCAGCAGGAGGTAGAATCTGCCAGTTCCCCGGACAAGGGCGGAGGTCCAGCCGCCTCCTCCCCTCAGAACTTTGCGCTGTATCTCGGGGCCCTACACACCGAATTTTAGGGTGCTGAGCCAGGGAAGTTCAAAGCCAGCTCTGGGTTCTGGACAAGCACCTCTCACCTCCTAGCCTCAGTTTCCCCACAGAGTGTCAGAGAACACTGGGTCTGTATTCACTCCCCACCCAGTCCCAGCCTGCAGACCTACCATCCCCTCTCCGCCTGCAGCCCGTTCCCCAGAAAGGCAGGAGTAGGGGCTGCCCACTGGGCTCCATGGAGCCCCCAAACCCAGACCCCCTAGTGGTAAACATTTACTAGGTTGTGAGGAGCAGATGTCATCCCCGCCCCACACGCAGTACCTTTGGGGGGCATCCAGCACATCCGGTCCCAACCCCCACTGTATGCCTGGAACCTCACAACCCACCTCAGCAGGCTCCCCCGCCCCTAAGAGGCAGTGGAGGGCCATTCGAAAGCTTTATGTAGGCCTGGCCCGGTCCTAAGCATAGGGGGAGGGACCTCACTGGGCAAGGGAGCCGGGCAGGCAGGAGGGCTTCCTGGAGGAGTTGATTTTTCCAAAAGGGAATCCAGACAGGATGCACATGCAGTGCCCTGCGACCTGGCATCCCGGATCCCACTCTCGCCCTCAGTCTGTTCCTCCCAAAGCTGCCAGAGGGCACCCGTGAGCACCTGAAAAAAGGCCCATTCCTCTTCCCACAGCCTTGCAGGGCGCCCACCTTCCTCAAATCAAAGTAGGAGTCCTCCCCGCAGCAGGCCTTCCCGTCTCCATCGCTCATCCTGTTGCAGTTCCTCCCAGCCCTGCCCCAGGGCCTTTGCATATGCTGTGCTCTCTGCCTAGTCCCCTCTCCGGATGTCTTCACAGCCCCACCCCCACCTGTGGTTCTTAGCTCTTTTGTCACCTTCCCTGTTAGGCCTCCCTGAACCCACCTTGTCAGGAACACCCCACACCAACTACCTACCTGCTGCTAAATCCTACTTGTGTTAAATTGGTCAGCCACGCCTCTCCCAGGGGCTCCATAAATACCAGGGAGCTTCAAAAAGTTCGCGGATTAAAAGAAAAAATGGAATTTTTCCAGGAAATTTTTGAAGTCGTCTTATGTGTAGAGTAAATGAACGAATGAGTACTGGGCTTATTCTTGCCTGGCAGAGGCCCCAGCTCAGGGTCTCTGGGGCCCCCGGCCTCTGTAACACTCCCTCTCCCCACATCATCCATAAAGCCCCACACTCATTTAGTGTCCACTTTGGAGGTCTTAGGATGATCCAGAGTCGGACCCAGCAGAGGCCCTGGTTGTTCAGAGATCAACTTTGCATGTGGGGAAACTGAAACAGAGCAGGCCCTGAGCTCCCTGGCAGCCCCCTCCCACCACTCACTGGGGTTGTTTCCCAGGGTTCAGACTTGGTCCTCAGCCCCCCACCATCAGGGCTTCTGGTTTCTTCGAAGCCAGCCAGGTCTTTGGGGGCTTTCCAGAATCTGGGTGGTCGTCCTGGGTAAGGTTTAGCCCACATCTCACCTCCAGGGTCCCCGCTGGGCCCTGAATATCCACTGAACCAGAGCAGGAAAGGTGTGAGCCAGGGTGAGGGTAGGCTGTGGGGCCCATCGGATATCCCAGCCCCATTTTTAAAATCCTTTCATAATGGCCTTTTTTTAAAAGGCAGTCTTTCTAAAATAGATTTTACAGTGTATTGTTTTTAATAGGTAAAACAGATACAGGCCACAGAATTCAAGATATCCAAGAGTGTTCCAGGATAAAAGTACCAGCCACCCCTCTACTCTATCTCTGTCCCTCGAGGCCACTAGCCC